TTTTTTTACCCTGTTCTCTTGACTTAAAAGATACATCTCGCTTGCAGACATAATTTAATAACATTTCCAATTTTTAAGAAATTTTCTCATTTTTAAAATACAGTATTAAAAAAAAAGTTGAAGGTACAATATAAAATCACAGCAAAAAAAACCCAACTGTGTAAATACAACTTTTCCATTAGAAAAGGCAGTGTCTGGGGAAGGGCTGGGAAGCAGCGATTTTTTACTTTTCTAAAACAGATATAAACTTAAAGCCATTCACCATATTTACTTGTTTTAGGGTTCAGCTAAACCATATCAGGGTATTGCACTATAGCAAAAAAAGAGAAAAAGGGAGAATACACTAAACTAGTTTTCTGAGGGCACAGTTTGTTTCAATGTACACACACACCACACCCTATTTTCATGCCATCCTTGCATAGGTTCATAAATAAAATTATTGAAACACTTGTTTCTAAACAAATTGAAGATGATTTTGTGCAAAAAAAGAAAAAAAAGGCCAAAAAAAGCAAATCTAAAAAAGCCCCTTTGTGAACACAGCATGCTATTTGCTCCTGCCTTTAGACAATGCCCTCTGATGCACTGTGTCTTAATATACTTACTTATACTACTGTACTATTTAATATACAACATCAACATACTCTGTTATAGTATAAATAAGAAAACTTCGGACCTAGGAAACAGACCCACTGTGACTGAGAGTGCATCATCATCTCATATAAACCATTTTAGATATATATACACATACATATGTATATAAAATATTAATGATACACAAAACCACAGATAGGGCATGTGCATGTCGACAAGAAAATTGACACAGAAACCCATACATGTGCATGTGTGCACAGAGAAGTTGCAAAGGCAGTGATCCCACCCAGTAATCAGAAATCACATTTAAAAGCAAAGTTCAAGGCAGTCTTAAACTCCACTGGAGCTATGCTTGTTTACATGGTTAATGAACGTGGCTTTGTGTTGGATTTTAGTAAAAGAAAAGAAACAAAAACCACCTGAGTAAGCTTCTGTCCCCCTCCCCTTTATAGCTTCGGGTGTCTTAAAATGAAGGCTTAAACAAAATTATGGCATGGGGTATATAGTGGCCTAAATCTAAGAAGAGTAGGAAAGAGGTGTAAGCGCAATAAAAGCAGACTGTTTCTGTACAGCCAGCGTCTGACTAACACAGGACATTGCAGTAGGGCTGGGAAATTACTTTGTCCCTTCTCGGTTGGCATCAGTTGAAAGCAGAGAGGGTTAAGAGCAGCTGAATGTATCCCTACCAGCTATGAAAAAATGAACCCATTTCAACTTTATTTAAAAAAAAAATAAAGGAAACTCATCACCATAAGCGCCCCCCCCCCCCCCCTCACACAACCCCTCTACCGT